TAATTTTTTATAACACGTTCAAAATTAATAATAAAAAATATTCATTATCAGAAGTATAAGTCGGTTAAAGGTTAAATATAACAATAAATGAATATTCAAACTATATTATTATTAATTAATAAATAACAATTTTTTAAAAAAATTCTTTTTACTTGAAATTATCATTTATTTTAAAACAATAATTCTTTATATTGTTTACACATATTTCATTTGAATAATTCCAACAAAAAAACAACTGTTAAAATCATAATGTCCACAATTGACGGTTATCATATCATGATAGTTTCAAAGTACTTTGCAACAATCAACGATTTCATTAATTTGGAATTTGTATGCAAAAAATTTAACAGTAATATGGAGAAATTTCATTTCAACCCGATTCCATTAACTTGCAAAACAATTAGATTTTTCTTGAACATTGAGACTCTTCATTTATGGCATAAAAACGATGAAACTTTTGGCAATCTATTATTTGTCAAAACAGCGTTCGATGAAGACGATGATAACAATGAAAAACATGGAGATATAAACAAAAACAAAGAAACTGTTGTGACAAAAGTGTTTTATGAAATCATTGTGTGGTTCAATGTTAATTATGACACCGTTGTCAAAAACGATGGTCAAAACATAAAGTTCAAAGATATTGCTTACACCCAAACCGACCGAATGAAATTTGGTGATAACATACCAAATTGTGTCACACTTATTAGTCATAGCTGTTTCCGTAATTGTAGTTTGAGCAGCATAACAATACCATTAAGTGTCACGTTATTTGGTCCGAGATGTTTCCAAGGATGTAGAAACTTGGAAAGTATTGATATACCATCAAATGTGAATTATATTGGTCACCTTTGTTTTTGTGGATGTGATAGTCTCAGTAGTGTGACAATACCATTAAGTATAACATCATTAAAACGGAGTTGTTTCTCCGAATGCAGAAGTCTAAGCAGTGTGACTATACCAACAAACGTGAATACTATTCATAAATTTTGTTTCGATGAATGTAACAATCTAAGCAACATTATAATACCATCTACTGGTCACATT